AAGCAAAGTCTCAACTCTCAAATTCTTTCGATTTTATTACGAAATTTAAACAACAAATGTAGTTTTGGCTCTCTTTAATACGGCGGGACAGATCACTGTAACCACCTCAGTTCAAGCGGCAGGTGAACACCAGAAAGATACATTACAGCTTACAGAAATGAATCCTGTCTCATGTAATCGCTCAATCGGTGTTTCAACCGGGAAAGACGTCAATAAAACAGCTTGTCGGCTGTACAATGTCACTTAACGTTACATTTAACTCAAGAAAGCTATTAAATGTCTATAAAGAGAAGAACATTTTGCTAAATATATGCATTGTATTACATATTCATTAGATTTTTACTTAACCTTTTAGTGATGTCTTCATTATTTAATGTAGCCTATGCTTGAATAAATGTAAACAAGTATTAGTTTATTTTCATTTAAACGTTTGTAAAAACAAACTGGATTCGAAACAATTCTGTAATTTAAGTTGATAAAAAAATGCCTTATGCGCAATTTAACTGTTTGTACAACTCAGTTTTAGCTATTTGAGTGTTGTTTATTAAATAAGTTTGATTGATTAATTTATTATTTCGGTTTTCGGCCAAGAGTATCCTGAACTTTCGGTTTCAGCCCAAAATTTTCATTTTGGTGCGTCCCTAAAAAAAGAATTAGACAAAACCTCTTGAACTTTTGCATTATAATCCTCATTTTCATTTCATGCACAAACCGTCCATCACAATGAGGACATTTCCAGCTGATCTCTTTGTTGAACACCGCAGAATAGCGTGTCCGAAGAAGGGCCTGGCAGCGATTTAGCCCCCTCGGTGACAGATCACTCCGGCCTGCCAACTGGGCCATCTGGAAGTGCATGCCCCGTGGGTGTGAACCACTGAACTCCCACTGCTGTGGAAGGGGCATTTGTAGTCTTCCTGGCACCGCTGCCAAGATCCCTCAGTCTCTCTTTCCTCTCAGTCAGCGGTGCCAAAAGACATGACGGCAGCAGAGAAGTGTCAGAGGAAGTCTCAAAGGTAAGGGGGATGGTGTGTGTGGTGTGAATGACCCAACTGACAACTGACATCATCTCAGAATGTGATAATTCAGACCAAAAAGGCTACAAAGCATCTAGGTAGAGGTGAAAAACATTACTAGGAGACTGTACCATTGACCATAAGTTCCAAATGACCCAATGTGGTGACAACTTATTGTTGGAATCAGGGGCACCTAATATATATATTTTTTTTTTTTTACTGAGGAGGCACTAATTCAATCCTGGCTCACATTGTGCCCTGGTTGAGATGAGACATGACAAAGAGGGAAGGAAAAATGCTTGTAAACAACACGTAGATGATGACAGAAGCAAATGGAAATGATCTATGACTCGGTTACACTGGCCAAATTTAGACATGTAAATGTGATATTACTGCCACACCGTACACAAGTCAAATAAAATTTGTAGCTACAATAATAAATTTCATTTTATAATTTTATTCTTTATTATTTATTAATAATTGTAATACCTTTTTATAATATTGATAATACTTTCAAATATTTCTAAATAATAAAATATATATATCCTCCTGAGACCCAGGAATAGACATTTAGGATATTATATTTTAGCGAATTTCTCTGACATCATATACGTCACAGTTTTAAGTCGGGATGTCCTGTAAAGAGCACATTCAGGGCTTTGCAGAAATACCAAATATTTGGAGGTTTCACCTTGACAACTCCCTCTCCTTGGTCTTTAAAAATGACTGAATGATCAAATTTAGCACTCTTATGGATATGGTAATCTTTTTTAATTATCATTTAAGTCTGACTTATTTTCAAATTGTTTGTAATTCAACATCTCAGGAAAATATTATGGGTTTCAAATCAGAATATGACTTTCTGTTACAGGGCATTCATTTTATTCATGACCTCAGTAGAGGACACCAGGACTTACATCTTGGCATATTAGGCATTTTGGAGACACATGAAGTGAATAGGGAAAGAAATTATATATCAATATTCTTATGAAATATAAGAAATTCTTATGAAAATATTTTTTCATTACATGTTGCCCCATGAACACATTAATATGCAATTTAGATACGGTGTATAGATGCATGGCACGGGAATGCCATTTAGGGCCATGTTTACACGCATATTGCATAAATGGTATATCATATCATTCGGTTATATGTTTCATAACATAGTTGAGAATCATCTTGATACAATGTTTGGATAAAAAAAGCTTGAAAAATAAAAATTGATTGGTGAATGAAAAAAAAAACATTGTTTTTTCCTATTCATGTCTTTTCAAATCTTATAATTTTTTATTTAATTTGTTGTCATGACAATGCAAACCAGGCATTAACCCCCATGTTCTATTTGGGGTCTGAAAGACCAAAAGGTCATTTTATAAGCGTGAAAAACATATTTAATATTTAAGTATCAGGTTAATACTTAATGACTGTTCCTTATTTTATGAGGACTGATTATAAACAAAAATTTGTCATGGTTCAAACACCCTCCATGAGAAATCTTACATTACGTCTGTTTAGCTATAACACTTTCATATTTTACATTTAGTCATTTTTCTCAGTCATTTTTCAACACTTGTTGATCGACAGAGTTACATTTATATGTTAAATTATTATTTTTCCAGTATTTTAACACATACAGGCATGGGCGGACTGGCCATCTGGCAGACCGGGCACTTTCCCGTTGGGCCGACGTGCTTTTTGGGCCGATAGATCTCATATTTAAAAATGTTTTTGTTTTTTTGTCTGAACGGCCCATAAAACTGGTACATCGGCGGCCCATTCGTTTAGTTTTGTTTTGCTTAATTGGCGGCACTGGGGTCTTTGTGCCGGTGTAATGCATTGGACAAACTGGCATTTTTTTCTCACAGACCGGCCCATGGAACACATGGATCAGCGGCCCATTGGTTCTTTTCTTGATTGACACTGGGCTGGTCCAATCACATCTTTAAACACCTCCCCTTTTGGGCTCTGAGCGAGCGTGTGTATCTGTCAAAATAGTCAGAGAGATGGAGAAGAAATGCAAGGAATGTGCAGAGAAATAGCGTGAAAAAAAGAAACAGGCCCTTCAAGTGGCTGATGAGGATAGTGAGGAGGAGTGTAGAGAACTGCGGTAAGCAGAACTAGGCTACTTTCAAAACACTCAGGCTAGGTCATGAGTGTAGGAACCCATTACCCAGTTACGCATTATTTACACATCTGCATATTTGACGATTACGCATAACGCATTTTACTAGAATTGTAATGACGCGTTTGTAAACCATGTTTTCCGCCAAAATAAAAGCTTGATGCAGTTTCCGTCAAAATAAAAGATCATGCGTTTATCTCTTTCAAGTATAGAAATTAGTACATAACTAATTATGAAAGTTTCTTTTATTTTTCAGTGCATTTGCTTTACAATATATGGCTATTACTGTCATGGGATTAATATTATAACTATTATTATGTAGTAGTGTAATGTAGACAGACACCATATCACAACTAAAAGAGTTTTGAGTTTTTCTTTGTTCAATTTGCACACTGAATATGGGTTGGAGCTCTTAATTTTGAACTCTCAAAGTGTACCAGATTGATGAATTTAACATTAAAAAGCACAACATTTTCTTACGGGGGAGCATGCCCCCGAAACCCCCTATTGGGCCTGAGGTCCACTCACCACAGATTTACCAAAAATCCTGTGGGAAACACTGGTATTGTTATTGTTATTGTATTTTACAGTTAGTAGCTAATTTCATCTGTTAACTCTTACTCATTCCAACTCACACATTACATGGCATTAGTGGTTTTAAGGAATAGGATTTGATATATTCAAAGGCGTGCAAAGATCGGTGATGTGTTTATGATCATATGTAGTGGGCTGGTCTGTGTCCCAGTCCAGCATACAGGCTTAGGGTGTTTGGTACCCCAAGACAGTCAATCTCAACAGAACAGTGGTTGTTTTAAGCACAGCAAACTTCCAGATTGGGCCTTAAACACACCACCTCATTTAAATAAACATGGCAGACAGAAGAATTGCTAAGGGAACAATAAAAATGTAATACTGTCTGGAAAGCAGAAATATTTCAGGCTTTCAACAGTAATAATAACAAGTGTTAAATCCCAATGTACAATTTTAGCACCATTATACAGCCTCACAAGGGTCATCATCATTAGCATAACAGCACATGCAACTAATAATTAGCATAGACAAACACTAAATTAAAATGATCCATTTGTGGGAAAATGCACCAATCACAACAATTTCTCCTAATGCAGATTGCTGTAAATCAGAGTTAAAGTAAAGTAGAGTTCAGCTCTAATAGACACACCACTCTCTTCTGCCTGTCTTTACTTACATTATCATGCATGCACCCTGCAAAACTTTGAAAGTGTGGAGCGAACTCCTCAAAGAGTCAACAATCCCAGGCCCCTCTGGGATGTTCTCAGGGACGACTCACAAGGAGACTGACAGAGCAGTCAACAGAGAGATTGCTCCCCGAGTACAAGGGCATCCAGCTCTCCTTCACCATTACCTCTTATACACCATTAGTCAGATAAAGCTTCTACATGGGTGCACTTTTGTGCTGTCCTGCTTCATCAATGCCAGTGGAAGTGGAAACCAACAAATAACTGTATAAAGTACTTGAGATTCATTACTATTTACAACTATTATTTTGTGAAAATTGTATTTTCTCTTCTACTATAGAAAATGAATACTTTCAAGACGAAAAAAGAAAAAACAACTTTTATGCTTTACAATTTTGTTTAGACCTCCAAAAGTGCTCATTTTGCAGGTTATCTTGTCTTAAATCTTGCTGCTTCTACTAAAATATGTCTTTTTTTATTCTGACTTACTGACTAATAAGAAGCCATTCAAGTTGTGCTCCTACGAAAGTGTTTAAAACAACCAATGAAATCAATTTCAAATATAAAACTTGTCATTTTGCCTTGACCAGACACAAATCATCACAAACAACTCTGAACTGATGTGTGTAGCACAGAGCATCTCACCAAAAGAACTGCTGATGTCCCATTTGGCCGGAAAAGCTCGATTGACATATCTGGAAACATCCGTCCAATTCTGGATATGACATCATCCACATATCTGGAAAGAGAGAGAATATTTTGAGTAAAAAAAGTTGCTAATCTTTCACTTTAAGTGCAAACCAAGAGGTCCTTGGGTCACAATCACTGCCAATACCAAATCAATGGCTTTTCATTAAGGTCTTGGTATTGAACAAACTAATTGTTTCTTTGGATACAACACATTATTGATGGAGTCTAACAGTTGAGGAGGTCCGGGTCAGCATTGTGATGGTCATTGAATCGTCACATTGATTTGAACAACATCTTGATTCGAATTCTCCTTTAACATTTTAAAGGTTTATCAGTGTTATTTTAGTGCTATTTATATATTGTATTCACTGATATTTTGAACTAGCTTTTATTTAAACATTTTCATTTTAGTTGTTTTTAGTAATTTTATGTGCTTTTTGTCATTTGTATTAGTTTTTGTAATATCTATTAATTTAATATTCTTTATAATTCATATTTTATTAATAATATTTAATAATTTATTTAGCTTTCATTTATTTTTTCAGGTCTAGCAAATTCAGTATTTTAAATTTAAAATTATTTTATAACTACATTTTTCATTTAATATTTGTATTTTATTTAATCTTTGAAAACGTTTTTTTTAGTTTTAAGAATAACACTGATGTAGCCACACAAATCACGCCTTGCTTTTTTCAGTACAGCTGTAAATAATCAAACCAATATAAAAAAACTGGAAAATAAACATCAGAAGCAACATAAAAAAAACAAAAAACTGTATGAGCTCTAAATTGAAAGCATTAAGGAATCGATTTGCATCCACCATCAACAAGACTCTCTGGTGTTCCACATCTGACATAACCTTCAATGCTTCAGAAGAAAACGAATACTTAAAACCCTGCCAGGGTTGCTCAACAGCCTCGTTAGACATCAATAAATTGGACAGAGAGTGCCAAAAGCCTTCAGCCATCCCTGGAGTCAGCAGAACAGTCCCCAAGAAGAGTCGCCCAACATGTATTGTAGGGTCAATGCTAATAAGGGTTTAATGAAAATCTCCGTTGCCATCAGCTATCAATAGACTTGAGGGACTGGCCCTGCACACAGACGAGGAAAATAATTCATTAAAGAACCGATGGTGGGCGGCTGGTGGAGGGCTTTGTTTAAAAGTCATTTGAAAGTTACTGGACCAACTATGGAGATATTACTTCTTAACAGTGGTTGTGGAGAACCCAGGTAACCCACGGACAGGTGCAAATAGGGACACGTATGTGATTGCGTACACACACGTCTGCAAATGCAATGCAGCTGGAGAATCGACAAAGATTAAGTTGCCTCATCACGTTGAAAGTTCTCAGTGATTTTCCTGCAGCAGCAGTTTCTTTCCCAGAAGGGAAGATCAAAAGCAAAGAGAAATTGTTCAACATACCTCTCTGTTTGTTCACAATTTCCCTCGTGCCTGCACTAAGGTTCCTCATTTACTCGCTTAAATTAAATAACAGCATATTAAACAGGCGAGAACATCACTAGAGTTCATCACCAGCTCGACATATGCTTATATAAAGATTTTGGGAATCATTAGACCAAGGATAAACTTGATTTTTACTTTTCAGGAGAAAATGTGAGCAGTGCTTGTGCATGCAAAACTTGCCAGCACAGTGCTACGGTATTTCTAAGCAGTTGCTAGGGTGTTCAGGATGGTTGCTAGGTGGTTTCCTACTAGCCCAATTCAAAATAACCCACCCTGTCTGTAATATATTCTGGTCTCTAAATGGCTTGAGTCCTTCAATATAACCTTAAAAGGACCCCTTGGCCTGTTTTATTGTTCACCAAGTGAAAATAACACATCTGATCTCACACCTCGCCCCAAAAATTGCCATGACTTGAGGTATCATCCATGCCTGAAGCACAAATCCTGAGGAAAAAGTTATGCATTGAGCTTTAATACTTAGGGCAAGGGGTTCAAAACCCTACAGCCGCATTTTTTCACTATCTCTGACATTCGCATACAATTGTCACATTTCGCCCCCACAGTGCCAGTTGCACAGCACCTTTAAAATAGTTTGTGAAGCAACCATTACCCTCCGTTTATTAACCATGGTAAAATGAATAATTTGGATGAACATAATGAATGTATGATTATATACACACAAAACAAATGACCCCCAATACATCTGAAAGAAAAACATTGTAGGTTTTCAAGAGCTAAATAATGATTAAAAATTCCAGAATTATTCATAATCACCATTTTACAGAAATAGTGTTAAAAGGGGCTATATGTAAGAATTTTCATATATGAATCACTTTTATATTGCCAATGTGTGAACAGCTTGTAACTCGGCTTGTTTTTGCCGGGAAAATCAAAATGATGTGACGTTTATGTGCCCTCCCAAGAGCCTCTTTTTTTTGTTCTTTTTTTTTTTTTGTTCTATGTGACACATGAAATGAATGCTTATACAATGTTCAGGATAATACTGAAAGAACCATTCTGTACTGCAATGTCAATGTGTCATGCAAAGAAAAGGGATTAATTTAAACCATAGCATAACATAGCCAGATCAATATAGTCTATAGTCTCAAATATATTTTATAATCAAACTATCATAACGGTGTAGTTTTAATTACCTCATCATCTGTCGACATGATGCTGGTGAATTGCAGAGCTGGTGCAAACATATCCACATCGGTACGATCAAATGCTTTCTTAACTGCTGCTTTCTCACTACTGTCATTTTTGTTGTTGAGAGGAAAGCGTGCAGCACATATTTACATATTCATCTAAACGTCGCTCTCATCAGCGTAAACAGTGTCAGGATGTTTGTTAACAGTGTATCACTGCAAAGGTATTCTTTTTACCCCTAAGTAAAATACGAAAAAGAACCTCGCAGTGAGTATATCGGGGCCTTAAATCACGTTCAGTCTCTTGTACATTACGAAAGCACGAGTGTGAGCACAAGCAGAAAGTTGCTGGCTGCAGTTCACTTACTGGCCACCGGGGTTTCTGAATTTTACATACACTCACCTAAAGGATTATTAGGAACACCATACTAATACTGTGTTTGACCCCCTTTCGCCTTCAGAACTGCCTTAATTCTACGTGGCATTGATTCAACAAGGTGCTGAAAGCATTCTTTAGAAATGTTGGCCCATATTGATAGGATAGCATCTTGCAGTTGATGGAGATTTGTGGGATGCACATCCAGGGCACGAAGCTCCCGTTCCACCACATCCCAAAGATGATCTATTGGGCTGAGATCTGGTGACTGTGGGGGCCATTTTAGTAAAGTGAACTCATTGTCATGTTCAAGAAACCAATTTGAAATGATTCGAGCTTTGTGACATGGTGCATTATCCTGCTGGAAGTAGCCATCAGAGGATGGGTACATGGTGGCCATAAAGGGATGGACATGGTCAGAAACAATGCTCAGGTAGGCCGTGGCATTTAAACGATACCCAATTGGAACTAAGGGGCCTAAAGTGTGCCAAGAAAACATCCCCCACACCATTACACCACCACCACCAGCCTGCACAGTGGTAACAAGGCATGATGGATCCATGTTCTCATTCTGTTTACGCCAAATTCTGACTCTACCATCTGAATGTCTCAACAGAAATCGAGACTCATCAGACCAGGCAACATTTTTCCAGTCTTCAACTGTCCAATTTTGGTGAGCTCTTGCAAATTGTAGCCTCTTTTTCCTATTTGTAGTGGAGATGAGTGGTACCCGGTGGGGTCTTCTGCTGTTGTAGCCCATCCGCCTCAAGGTTGTGCGTGTTGTGGCTTCACAAATGCTTTGCTGCATACCTCGGTTGTAACGAGTGGTTATTTCAGTCAAAGTTGCTCTTCTATCAGCTTGAATCAGTCGGCCCATTCTCCTCTGACCTCTAGCATCAACAAGGCATTTTCGCCCACAGGACTGCCGCATACTGGATGTTTTTCCCTTTTCACACCATTCTTTGTAAACCCTAGATATGGTTGTGCGTGAAAATCCCAGTAACTGAGCAGATTGTGAAATACTCAGACCGGCCCATCTGGCACCAACAACCATGCCACGCGCAACATTGCTTAAAGCCCATCTTTCAAGTTGAAGATCCCTGTGAATAGATGTGTAGATAAATGGTGTAGGAACTCGATTTGCGTGAAGAAATTAACCATAAATGTGCATTAAAAAAGTTTTTTAAAAGAAATTGTGAGTAAAATTACTTCCGCTGTCAAAAACGCTCTGATAGGACGTGACGCAACGGCCGGTAAATCTCATCTCTGCGTAATGGAGTCAGCCATTGAAGAGGTTGCAGTAGGAGTTCATGTCAACTCTTCCGATGGGCTATTGCCGTATAATTATGAGCCACCTAGGCGAGAGAGGGGTCAGGCAGAGTTAAGGGGAAGGGGAAATGGACAGAGGAGAGAGATAGAGTTGTGGTGTGAGGAGAATCGGTGGAGAATTGGGCAGGTGTCTTGGTGAGTGACCACAGGCTATAGCTAGCTAATTGTGGCTAACGTTGTCTCCATGTTTATCACATTGCAGTATCTTTAATAAATCGTATTTAGCAATATTGCTGTCGACTTTGTTGTTTTTCAAGCATCCATGTATATTGTCACCATCTATGCTAGCAACATGCGTCTTAAAATGTTTAATTTAGATCCCAGATTTTCCGAACTTAGCCGGCTGTCATGCTACTCCCATAGTATTTCCCACGGACATTATGTAAATGAGTTCGCATGTACTGCGGAGTATGTGTATGAAAGCAGTTAGTGTTCCGGTTAGGACGGGAATATGCTGTTCATGTAAATATAGTCATTGTTACAAGGATCTTTTATTGTCAAGTGGACTGGGTGTAAGGCATGCAGATAAATGCCATTACCACCCGATCCCGCCCGCCGAATTTCTGACCATTACCACCCGATCCCGCCCGCCGAATTTCTGACCATTACCACCCGTTCCCGCCCGCCGAATTTCTGACCATTACCACCCGTTCCCGCCCGCCGAATTTCTGACCATTACCACCCGTTCCCGCCGAATTTCTGACCATTACCACCCGTTCCCATCCGGTGTG